TGTCTGCCTTGGAGCTGATGGTGGGTCCTCTGCCTCTGGGCTGAGAAAACCATGAGCTTGTGGTCTTGGGGCCCACACCTGCCCAGTCAGGGCTCTTATGTGCTTCTCCTCCTTGCGTTGGAGAATAATCCTGTCTTGTCTGACAGTCCAATCATGTGCCCATTCCTGCTGTATCCTACCTGCGTGGAGCAGGGAGAGAAGGCCTTGGGGTGCAGTAAGACTGCCCCAGGAGTAACCTCCCTCCTCACCATCATTGTCTCGATGTCCTGGGGACACAGAATAAATGTGGGGACATGACTCTATACTGCAGGAGGCCAGGTTGGCGCTTTGCACATCCCAGGTACAACCCCTGCCAGTTGTTTCCCAAATGCCTGCCATGGGCCACCAGGATGGAACAGGTAAGAGATTATGGATGGTTTGATACAGGACTGCTCCACTGTTTGAATAGCAACCCAGTGGTTATGTTTGGGATAGGTGGCAATTCAGGAAGAAGAGAGACAGTTGAGCCCCATCTGCCTCATAGAAGCAGGACTCCACCTTCCTGCACAGCACATCCTCCTCACTGCATTCCAGCCACAGGACCTTTGCACATGCTATTCCCTCTTTCTCCAATGTGTTCCCTCCCTTGGCTCCCCTGGTAATGCCTACACAATTGCCACTTCCTCACAGAAGCCTTCTCTGACTCTAGTCAAAGTCAGGTGCCCTGTTATAGGTGTTCATAGCTCCCTGATCTCTCTCCATCATAGCAAGTAATACTCAAAGATTCATTTTTTTTACTATGAACATCAGACTTTCTCACGAGACTGTAAACTTCATGAAGGCAAGACTCACATAACCATGTGTCTTCAGGGCCACATGCCTGATACATAGTAGGTATTCAAAAAAATTGTTGAATAAATGGTTCACTTGCTCTCCTACTGTCCCACGGCACCCACAAACCCAGCTAGGCCCCAAGTACCCATTGGTCAGGCTGTGAGGCTGCCCCAAGCCCAGCAGCACCCCAGAAGGGTACCCCATGGTCTTCCCATCCAGCCCTGTTGTCAGGTCAGAGGGCACGATTAGAAGCTGAGAATCAGAGCAGCCTGGGGCTATGAGAGGGGAATAAACCACACAACCTAGAGGACGGGGGGCCACCAACATCATACTGAAACCTGCACGCACACAAATGTGTGTGTTATGTACACCTACCCGAGTGCATGTGGTTGCACACTCAGGTATATACACAGGCATGTGTGCACACACAGCCCCCCCCCACACACACATATGTGGGTGCATGTGTCCCTGCACATCCCTCCCCTGGTGTGGTCACCCTTCAGAGGCCCAGCTCCCACTGACATTTGTCTTGCATCCCACCTCCTTCCAGGAAGCCATTCCTGAGGAAGATGGCTCTGCGCTGCCTTGAGCAGTGCTCACGTCTCCCCGACCTGGTCTTCCCATCAATGAAAAGTGGCTCACCGAGTGCTGACATCTGAGTGGCTCAGCACCCAGAGAGCTGGAAATTCACCTGATGGTGCCAGAGGTTCTTGAGGGTCGAGAGTGTCACCCGGGGACACAATGCCTGGAGCGACCCTGTTCCCTGTCCACCTGCATCCTGCAGAGAGCACTTTGCAGCGCCTCTCTTTACCCTCAGCTCTGAACACTACTGAACAGCCATGCTCAAGGGTCCAACACAGAGCCTTCTGGTCGGGCAGCCTAGTGGCTAGGAGCCTGGGGCTTGGGGTCAGGCAGTCTTTTTGTGAATTCCAGTTTAACCACTTACTAGCCCTGGGGTCCTGCACAAGTTATTTAACCCACTATCCCTCAGTTTCCTCACCTGTACAATAAGCATCTACTTAGGTTAGAAATAACACCTGTCGAGTGCATGGTTTACAGCCAGGCCTCAATAATGACAGCTGTTGAAATGATTACTATAGCAGCAGTGGCAATAGTAGCAGCAGTCCTCAGAGGTCATCTCAGCTATCCCCCTGCCTCTGGGCACGGCTGCCCCAGGCACCAGGTCTAGAAAGAACCGCAGACACATTTTAATCCATCTTGTTCATTTTATAGATGAGGTGCTGCGAAGGGAAGCAGTTTCTGCCCCAGTCATCCAAGGAGTCGGCGCTCAAGGTCAAGCCTTTGAACTATAGATCCCCACGCTTTCCTCTCCAGCAGTGGAAACTCATTTTGTTATAACTGGGGCTGTCAGGGCCTCAAAACCTGGGCTGGGGGAGGTCCAGGGGGCAGGGAGGTGAGACGGTCCAGCCCTTCCACCCCAGCTGGGACACCCAGGATGGAGGTAACATCCCCCCCCACACACACACACACATTCTGGCTTCCCTACCCCACTGTGAAGCTGCTGCCTTCCCCCAGAACAGGCGATGAGTCACAGGAGCAGGGCCATGTTAGGGGAGGCCCCTTGCAGCAGGCTCTGCCCCATCCTTCAGTGCAAATTAAAACATTTTCACTTTCTTCATAATTTTTTTCTGACACAACTGACCATGAAACATTTTAATAACATCCCAGAAAAGGTCAGGGAGAAGGAATTTCACAGTCCCTGAGCAGGCAGCTATAACTTCAGGCCCTCCTGCAGCAAACGGGATAGAGAGATTGGACTGACGAAGGTCTGAGTAGAGAATTGCAGGGTGGGGAGGGTAGGGCGGGTGGTAGGTGTGGAGGATGTGGCCATGAAACTTACTACCTGCTAGGAGCTCTGGAAGCACCTTGGGAAGATAGGGAGATGAAGATGGGTGGGTGGGGTCAAATCCATTGTTCAAATAGCTTGATAGCAGCCTTGTGGGAGGTCTCATGCCCATTTTGCAGATGAGGAAATAAAGGCTTTTAGAGATGGCATGAATAGACCAGCACACAGCAAAGGCAGGGAGACCAGGGCCCATGCAGTTTCACTTTAGGTCCTGAGTATAACCTTCTGCTAGAGCTTATCTTATCATTGGGTGAAACAGCACCCTCGTGCTGCACCCTGCACAATTTCACAAACCCTGGGGCTGATGGGTTGAAAGGAGGTGAGCAAAGCTTGGACAGACAGACTTAGGAACTGAAGTCTGGCCCGATGAGCCAGCCCTGGACAGAGATCCTCAGGCAGCCACAAAGGAGGTTGAACTTATCTGCTAAACATCCTAAGGGGGCCTGGGAGAGGAACTGGAGAAGGGGTCATGGGCACCAGGCAGGAGTCCACGCAGGCCAAGGAACTGCTCCAGCGCTTGAAGAAACCCAGTTTGAGGACTTACTCTCCAGTGTCAACCCCAGACAGGGCTGAGCCTGACACATCATCCCTGGCATCAGCAACTGGCCACCAGCCAGGAGGTAAGCCTTCCCACACACGCCACTCCTGCTCCACAGGCTCTCTCAGCCTTTCCCCAGGGCCACGGGAACTTGGGACTGCAAAATAAAACCCTCCATCCCCAGCAAGAATGCCAGGAAGGACTCCCTGGACCCCTACCAAGCCCAAATTCTTTTCCACGTGGTCCCAGGCCTGTTGGGGTGGGGCCTCCTCCCCCTATGAGATCCCTGAAGCACAGGCTGCTTGGGTGTCCTTCATCCTGACATTCAAAGGTGGCTGGGGGGTGGAGGGGGGGAGGAAGGAGGCTGAAGACACTTTCTTTGGGTCCAGAAGGCCCAGATCTCTAGGGGCTGCAGGACGGTCCATGGGGCCTCAAGCACCAGGTGACTGATTGCAGGGAGCACCTTGTGAAAGCTGGCAAAGCCACAGGCTGGGAAAGAAGGGGGAAGAAAACAACCTAAGCATATTGTTTACGTCTGATGGCCTGCCTAGCTACACATCTGTTTGAAAAATTTATAACTGTCAGATGGGAAGGGCCTGGGGGCTCAATACAATTTTATACCATCTGTCTGTAGAGTAAACACATTTTGGAATAGGGGGCCTGGGATCAGTAGGTAAAGTCTCCGCTTGACGTGAGAATGGAGCAAGAAATATTGTAGAAGTGAGGACTCTGGGACCCTCGGAGTGGGCAGGGAAGGGCAGCAGTGAGTGAAACTCTATAACGTTTATTGAGCACCTACTATGGGCAGGTCCTGAGCTTGTGTAACACACATCTACCACTTTGATCTGTTCAGCAACCAATTTTCTTTCTTCTGATATGAGAACCCCCTTGGAAATCGCCCCCTCCCCATTTTCAGCCCATATAATTTGGATGGGGCTTTACCCCAACCCCTGGCTCCACTCTGGGGAGTGTGGCTCATCTCCGGTATATCAGAATCATGACTGGCTCAGGATGGCCCAACAAGCTGGGTCAATGAGGATCAGCTCTGGGGCTTTTGCTAGAACTACTGAAAAAGAATTTTTTCTCCCCCTAGGGTTGATAAATTGGTTAAGAAGTAAGCTAGGGGTGGTGGTGACCCTTTCTGCCAATGTAAAAAATGCAGAGCCCAGTGCTGAAGTCGGATCTCTGCTCAGTCGAGTGCCTGAACGCAGCCATGCCTGAAATCACTTACGCTTTTGAGTTACATGAGCCAATCCCCCCCCACCCTTTTTTTTCTTGGCTTGAAACACGAGTTTCTTTCCCTTGCAACCAAAAATACTGATACAAATGGATGCTGGGAGGGGTCCCTTATCAAAGTCTAAGCCAAGGGGAGTTGGAAATGCCAAGTGCCCACAAATAGCCCACTCTTCCCTGGTACCTGTGCTCAGACAGGGAGGGCCGCCCTCCTCAGAGATGGCTGGCCCCTGTCCCCATCAGAGAACACTTCCAGGGCTCCTGGCCCACCTAGGTGCAGTCCCTCTCACGGACGAGGCAGAAAACTGAAGTGTCCTTGGTGCAGTCTCATTCTCCCTCAGGTTGGCCCCTTTTCTACATTGCTACCCCGGCCAAGGGAGCCCCATCGAGATGAGTCCAGATGCTTTCATACACCAACACCACTGCCTCTGGGGGTTTGGGGACACCCCCTTTCCTGACTGCCCAGATTCCTTTGGGCAAAATCCCTCTGGCTGCCTCCTCATGGTTAGCCCCAGAGCTCAGTGGTCCTGCAGAAGAGTGGGGACTTACCAGGACTGTCAGCACAGAGGTCCCCACGGTGACATTCTCGTACAAGCTGACGTTGTACAGTGGCTGGCTGAAGATGGGCCGGTTGTCGTTCTCATTGATGAGGGTGATCTTCACCTTGGCATAGCCCACGTGGTCGGGCACACTCTCATTGGCAAAGAGCTGGGGGTGCAGAGCAGGGCCTGGGTGAGTTCCCACATGCTCCCAGAACCCCTGTCCCCATAAATCTCCCTGTGGCCTTTGCTGGTCCCAACCCAGAGCACCTGTCCAAGTCATTGCCCATCCCAGGTGTCTGCTCCTGTGAGTCCCTCCATCACTGCTCATAGGGCCAGGGTGGCTACTGATTCTGCTGGAAGGAGAGCTGATGGGGTTGGGTGGACAAGGGCAAGGCAGTAGAGCTCCTGATGGGTTTCTGAGGCTGTGGCTGTGCCTGGTAAAATTCCACTCAATTCCTGGACATTTTCTTGTCCTCTTTGAAAAGGAGAGGCTCAGCCCAGCCCCTGCCATGGCTTAGTGGGCTTCTCTCAGTCAGATCCACAGGGAAGGGTGGGGAGAGGCGAAAGAGGGGATTTAAGAGAGCTGAGTTATCCCCCCTGCTCCCAACCCACCCAAGGAGACAGTGAATGGGGCCTTACGTCGAAGTCATAGCGGTCCACGGTCTCGTAGTCCAGGGGGATGGCCACCCGGATGCGAATGTCCGCTTTCCCTTGGACGGAGGTGGGGGAGATGATGAAGTGGTGCGAGTTGTTCCCCACCAGGTACACCTCAAACATGCTGTTCAGGCCCTGGGTCAAGAATGGAGGAGAAACCAGTCAGAAGGGAAGCGGGAGGCCCAGGCCCAGGGTGCAGCCGGTGGGGCAGAGCTGGTTTGGGGTTGGAGGTAGATGAGGTGCAGGGGCCAGAGCAGGGCTGGGCCAGCCCCCACCCCCAGGGGGCCCGGCCTCTGCTAAGTGATCCTGGCCCAGCGCGCTGGCCGCCCTCCCGCCCACGTCGAGGCCCTCTGGGAATCTCCTCCAGCTCGTTTTGCCTCGTCATCCCATTGGATGCCCATGACGTCCCTTGTCGGTGGTTTGGTTCATTTCCATCTCTTGTTCCCTTACTCTGTCCCAGTGGCCCCCGAGTCGGGAGGGATCTGCCAGCCGTAGGACCCAGCTGGCAGGGAGAAGAGATCAGAAGGGACTGGAGGGGACAGAAGAACTACGTGTCTATGGCAGGCATGGGCAGCACAGGGCACGAGGGACAGGGCAGGGCATTGCTTCTCCCATCCTCCCTTTGGAACAAGTCAACCAGGGCGAAGGCGTGTGGCTTACAGGTGGGACGGGAATGGTCCCATTAGCTGAGTAGCAAAATGAACCCCTGTGCCCCCCACACCGTGGCCAGCCCATGGTAGCCTGCGGGACACTGGATCCCAAGTGTGTGATGTCTCCATGCTAGCAAGTCCCCAGATTAGGCGGGGAGCTATCGAGGAAGGTGGGAGACAAGGCCAGAGTCTGGCCTGCTTGGAAAGCGATTCAACCTCCTGCACAAAAAGGGGAGGTGACTCCCAAATAACCCTCTCCAACCTGGGTGGGTGGCCTGTGGTTTGTAACCAGCCCTGTTGCAGATGCCCAGCAGGTTACCGGCCTGGGCTCTCAGCACCCTCCCGCCTGTACGCATCACCCACCCCTGGCCCAGTGCTCAGCACAGCCCGTCTGTGCACGTGTTTCCGTGGACCTGGGGGCTGGCAAGGGAAGCATGCCTCTCTTTTTGGTTGTCCGGGGGTGTTAAGGGGTTCCCTCTGGAAACTGTTCCTGCTGAGAGGGGGGCAGCCAATCAACCTGGAAGACTGGAAATGATGACCAGGAATTCAGCCAGGAATGACACCCTCAGCAAAGCTTGAGAGGTCACAAGTCTCTTATGTCCCTGAAGCTATGTCTGTCGCAGGCACTCAACTACATTTGTGGAATGAATGCATGCTAACATTTACCCATTAATCTCTTGCGTTTTTTCCATTTACAACTACGAATTAGCGAAACAAGGGCACTTCCTGTACTGAGCCTTTTCTTAGCGCCTGGAAGCAAGCCCAGGCCCCTGTCACTGGCTCAGCCGGTTTGAATGGGACGTGTGAGCGGAACTCTTTTAGCCTCTCCTGCCAGCCTTGGTGTCCAGGCAAGCAGAGGGGCCTCCAGGGCCCCCAGCCGGGAGCGGCCCCCACAGACTGTACAGGCAACGCTCCCCTGGCGTGTCAGGCTGTGCAGGTTCCAGCTCTCCCTGGCGTGGAATCCATCCGTCAGATGGAGGGGATCAATTAAATGCCCGAAGGGGCACTAATAGCCAAAGCTGGCAGAGTGTGACAGCTCTGAGCAGGTGACACCAACACCTCTCCCTCCCCTGGACCTGGGCCCCTCCATCACCAGACCTGAAGGCCCGGGAGGGTAGGGGCAGGCTGAGCTGTGCCCAGGCAGGGGAAGCAACACCCCCCTGTGAAGCCCCCTCCCTGCGGTGCCCACTATGCCGCCCCAGCACCAGCCCTTCCGAGGCTTACTTACCAAGTTCTATCAGTGGGAGTTGGTCAGTCAAGGGATATGAAGACAGAGAAGGAGCCAGAAAGGTATGGAGAGGAGGAAGGAACCAAAGAGAAAAAACGGTGAGATCCACGGTCAGGGTAAGGAAGAAGTGCCAAGGTGGGCCCCAGGGGCACACCTTGCTCCAGGGGAACAGCCCCGTATGTCTTCGATGGGCCACAGCCTCCAGGGGTGCCAGGGACAGGGTATGTGTCTGCACACAGGTCCTGGGGGAGGGGGGGGGGTGGATTCTGTGCAGTCCCCACACCCAGAGGAGGGGGAGGGCACAGAGGAAGAGGTACAAGGGCATGAAGGGGGAGGTGGCACCAGGGCTTCTGTCTCCCACTTGGTCCTCACCCAGAGGGGTTGGGAAGAGGAAGGGAAAGGCTGGGAGAGGAAGGGCCATGTTCCTGTGTCCTATTCCTGGGAGCCTGGACAAAACCCCTGAAAGAAATGGCCTCAAGCATTATCATGTTTTCGTTTTCCTAACATAGAAAATGTTAAAGACATGATAAACACAGACATGGAAAATATGCACATAATTCAAAAGTGTAAAGGGCACACGATCGTCTTCCTCTGCCCATGGCCCCAGCCACTCGAGAACCATCCTCAGAGGAAACCACCCATATGCAAACATCATGTATTTATGCCTTCACTCTTTGACACAAACAGAAGCATGCTGTGCACATGGCTCTAGGTCGGATTTTTTCCCCTTAAAGCCCTGTCTTGGAGATTGTTGCAGGACTATACAAATAGACGATGACATTAACAACAATAACCACGCAGCACACATTTATTGGGCACCTACTCTTTGCTGGGCACTGTTGGGAGTAACCACAGAATAACCCTCTGTGGTTACTGTGGCATGTCGGGAGCCCCTTAAGGCCACAGACCATACCTTGGGCAGTGTAAACCCACATCAGAGCAGGCACACAGTAGGTGCTCAGGAAGCTATAGGGATTCAGCAGCTTTTCGTCCCCCATTACTCCATGCACCCTCTTCCCACGGGCCATAGGGTGGAGATGAAAGAATGCTGGAGCTTAGAAATCCCTCCTGAGAAAATGGAGTTCAGAGAGGTTGAATGAGCCGCCCAAGGCCGCACAGGTGGCTGAGGATAGAGAGAGGATAAGTTCCCAGGCTGGGGTGCATTCCAGGCCAAAGGAAGTGGAGTCAGGGCCTGATATGGGGATCCCCCAACTGTAGTAGTTCCAGTGCAATATGAGTTGCCAGAGCAAACTGAGACGGTAACGCTGAACACTGCAGGGCCGAATGTGAGAGAACGCCAGCAGGTGAGCCCAGGCAGCGGAGGTTGCCCTGAGAAGCAGAGTTCTGAACTGGCTTTAGGAATAAAGGAAAGGAAATGGACTTGCGGAGAAGGTAGAGGGAGTGGCATTAAGCATGTTGTCTGTCCTTTGCGAGGATCAGAATCACCTATTAAACAGGAGTGTTGCCTTCCCCCAGGAATATCTGATTCAGTGAGTCTGGGTTGGGGCCTGTGAATTTGCATTTCTAACAAGTTCTAGGTGATGCTGATAGGTGGCTGGTCTGAGACCACCGTTTGAGAAGCACTGGCCTAAGCACAGGCATGGAGCCAGGAAAGAATAATTAATGGTCAGGCAGACAAGTCAGCTGATTTGAAGGGTCACGGAGGAAAACTGGTGAGACTGGTGGGACGATGGGAGGCTCTGCAAGCCCCCAGAGTCCCACCACCAGCACCATCTCGCAGCCTTCGGCTTTGTTTCCGTGAGCGATGTGGAGCCACTCAAGGCTCTGGACAGAGCGGAGGGACACTGGGGTGAAAGAGGAAGGGGGAGGGGCCGGCCGAGTGACTCAGTTGGTTAAGAGCTCGCTCAAGAGTTTGAGCTCTGAGCAACAGCGGTTCGATTCCCGGCCTGAGCTGAGCAGCTGCTGAGCTGCCAACAGGTGGCAGGATGGCTCAGCTTAAAAAAAAGAAAAAAAGCAAGGGGAACCTGGCAGCGATATGCAAGTCACACTGCAGCCCTCCTCACCTGGCCGCACATCAGAATTGCCGGTGGGACTCTAAAAACAAACACAGATGCCTGGAGCTACCGTGTTAGAATCTCTTTAAGGTGAGGCCCAGGCAGCTGCATTTTTTCCGACTCTCTCTAGGGCACCATGTTGCACAACTAAGGTTGGGAAGACATCAGACCCACAGGGATGCAGAGAGGAGATCAGGGAGAAGCAAAACAGGAGTGCTCCACCCAGCCACACATCAAAATCACCAGGTGGAGTTTTAAACTATCCCCATGCCCAGGCTGCACCCCAGACTAAGGAAATCAGACTTGCGGGATGAGGGGACAGAAAAAGACGGACATCAGGATTTCATAACGCTCTTCAGGTTATTCATTCTAATGTGCATCCAAGGATGAGAGCTACTAGGGTGAAGCAATGATTCTCCGAGTATGGTACGTGGTACAGGGACCAGCGGCATTAGGATCACCCAGGAAATTGTTAGAAATGCAAATTTGGGGGCCATGCCCAGATCTGCTGAATCAGAAGTTCTAGGGGGTGGGGCCCAGCACTGTTTCAGCAAGCCCTCCAGGTGTTCTGATGCGTGCTTATGTTTGAGAATCACCAGGACCGCACTAGGGCAAGGGAAGGAGCAAGTCTGAGCACAGTGAAGGAAAACATTCAGGGAGATATGGTGGGTGAGCAGCTGGAGAGAGAAAGCTGCATTAAACCCTCACGGGAGGGCCAGCCGAGTGGCTCAGTTGGTTAAGAGCTCGCTCAAGAGTGCAAGCTATGAGTAACAGGGATGCCGGTTCGATTCATGGCCTTAGCTGAGCTGCCACTGAGCTGCCAACAAGTGGCAGGATGGCTCAGCTAAAAAAAAACAACAAAAACAAAAAAACAAACCTCATGGGGATGTGCTGGAGCTGTGACCACAATACCCAGGCAAAAAGTGAGGGACTGAGGAGATGGCTGGGAAGGGGGTGCTGAGCTCAGTGCAGATTTAGCATGTGTACCTGACCAAGAAGGAGCATGGTGTTTCCTGCCCCCTGGGGCTTGCTGGCCCCTTCAGGCCAGGTCTCTGGGCCTCAACAGATGAGGTCTGCTCCCTTCTCCTTGATCTGTCTGCCACCAGCGGCTGGGTGTTCACTCAGGCCTGATGCTAGAGTTGTCAGGACCCCTCACATGGCTGTCCTGAGACCCCAGGGCTCGCCTTTTGGCCAAGTCCCCTCAAACACTCACCCTGCCCCTTTCAGAACCTGCCCAGAGGGCCAGTTCCTGCTGGGACTCAGCTTGTGACTGCCAGCCTCCAGGGATGTGTGGGTGTGATAGTCACCCAGTTCGCTAAGTAGGTGCAGGGGCCTCATATAACAACGGCTTCCATTGATCAAGCCCCAAGTATGTGTTCACAAAGCTTAACCAGAATCTTCACAACAGCCCAGTGACATTAGCATCAGGCCACCCGCTTTATGAAGAAGGAAACTGAGGCCAGAGGGGGAAACTCATGCAAGCCGCACAGCTTCCATCGAAGGAGTTGACTTCACGACTGTTCTGACTCCTGTGGGGTCTCAGCTCTTAATCACCCTGCTCTCCTGCGCTCTCAAGTGCCCCTCGCACTACACACCAGGCTCCAAATGCAGGCAGAAGAGAAGGCACTGGTGGGCTCCTGCCCCACGCTCCAAGAGGCAGGGAAAGCACCTCTCACAAGGTCAGGGAGCCAGGCCAAGGTTAGCGAAGCTGGGGCTGGTGGAGGGTGCAGCCCGGCTCCTCCCTGCTCCTGGCTGGGCCTCCTCCGCCCTCCCTCTCCGCCAGGCCCTGCAGGGGGCTGCTTGGTGGGGCCAGCAGGGAGGAAGGCAGGGAGAGGCAGGAGGTCCTCTTGGAGCTGACGAGGGGCAATTTTGTTGGGAAGGGAGATAAGGAACATCAAAAGGAGTCCCAGGGTGTATGGAGAGGAGCCTGGTGGATTAAATTCTCTTCCTGCTGGGAGAGGCGATGAGAAGGTTGATAGCGCCCGCCCGTCCTCCCCTCACCCGGTTGGGGAGCCAGCAGCTGCCTGTGGGCCTGCGACGGCTCGGCTTTATTTATTTATTGGGAGGGGAAAGGACATTCCTCCCTCCCTCTGGTCCCCACCCCATGCAGCAAGAGGAGCTTTGCTCTTGGTGACTGAAGTCCTGCCACCTCCCCCGCCCCCCCATGGTGAACAGCCTGCCAGCCCCTGTGTTATCAGCTGCTGCCAGAAGGGGCTGCAGCCCCTAGACTCCCCCAAACCATGTCCCCTGCTGCTGGAAGTAGAGGGGTGGCCTTGAGAACGGTCAGAGCAGGCACTGCCGAGAAAGGACGCGCCTGTCTCTGCAGGGACCGTCTCCATGGCTCTCAATGGTGAATTGACCCAGTGTTGTTTTTCAACTATTGGCTTGTCTGAAAAGTCATGTCGCATTTTTGCGACGAAAAACATAGAAAAAAATACGTCATGACTTTTCCGACAACCCAATATTTATTAGAAGTTTATTATGTGCTGGGCCCTTTACAAGCATCCCCTCATTGGCAGCTCACACTAATCCTGAGAGGGCCCAGGGTGGAATTTACATTAAGGACAACCACATGGGGCACTTCCCGCCTATTACAGGTGCAGACTCAGGCTGGCCCCTGCAGTGGGCGGGCTTGCATGGTGAGGTGGGGGGGATGGGGGTGGGGAGTCCTGGGTTCTCTCAGAGCCTGGCCTGATTTCTGAGTACGGCTTCTCTCAGTCATCACCTGCCAGCTCTGGACACCAGCACTTCCCTCTGCGTGACCTGGTCCCCCAGAGGGAGGAAGGCTGCCCCACCCCCAGACTTCTTCCCTGGACATGAGGTCTGAAGGTGGCTCCTTCATCCCTCTGGCTCTTTCCTGGTTCTCCCCACCCTGGGGCACCTCCATGCTGACGGTGGCTCCAGTTCGCCCTGTGGAGAGGGTCATCTCTCCCCACTTTCAGTCAAGCTAGAAGCTTGGTTCATAATTCAATGGTTTGATGCAGTAAGGAG